AGCTCACCAAAAACTTCAATGAGGTGAATTCAAAGAGATCCTCACTGAGACATATTACAATCAATATTTTTTTTGACAGGCAGAGTTAGTGAGAAAGAGACAAAAAGGTCTTCCTTTTTCCGTTGTTTTACCCCTCAAGTGGCCACTATGGCTGGCGCGTTGTGGCCGGCGTGCTGCATGGATCCAAAGCCAAGAGCCAGGTGCTTCCTCCTTATCTCCCATGCAGGTGCAGGGCCCAAGGACCTGGGCCATCCTCCACTGCATTCTTGGGCCACAGCAGAGAGCTGGACTGGAAGAAGAGCAACCGGGACAGAATCCGGCACCCTGACCGGGACTAGAACCCAGGGTTCTGGTGCCACAGGCAGAGGATTAGCCTAGTGAGCCATGGTGCTGGCCACAATCAATTTTTTAAGGGCAATGACCGAAGAATATTGAAACAGGGAGGCTGCAGCACTTCATTACACACAAATAATTCTCTGGGAGATTATAAGCAAATTTAACATCAGCAGCACTGGAGGGCAGGAGGCAGTGTACCAATTTATTCAAAGTGCCAACATAAAATGATTGTCCAAAGAAAGTCCCAGGACTCTCATGACTTCCCTGTACTTAGGAAATATAAGCACAATTCTTCTGAAACTATTTCAGAAAATTGAAGTGGAAGGAATTCTCTCAAACAAAACCAGAATCACAATACCAAAACCAGCCTGGCTAGTCCAGCTGCTACAGGCATTTAAGGATAAACCACTGAATGGCAGACATACATCTCTAGCTGTTGCTCTTGCTCTTACTCTCAAATCTGTGTGTGTGTGTGTGTGTGTGTGTGTTTCTCTGTGTTTGTGTGTCACAGTGCTTTTCTTTTTTTCTAGAAACCTCTTATTTAAAAAATATTAATTTCATAAGTACAACTTTGGGATTATAGCAGTTCTTCCCCCATAAATGCCCTCCTACCCCCAGACCATCCCACCTCCTAATCCCTCTCCCATCCCAATCTTCATTAAGATTCATTTTTAATTATCTTAATATACAGAAGATCAACTCTGTACTAAGTAAAGATTTCAACAATTTGCACCCACACAGACACACAAAGTATAAAATACTGTTTGAAGACAAGTTTTATTGTTAATTCTCATGGTACAACACATTAAGAACAGGGGTCCCACATGGGGAGTAAGTGCACAGTGACTCCTGTTGTTGATTTAACAATTGACACTCTTATTTATGATGTCAGTGATCACTTGAGGCTCTTGTCATGAGATGCCAAGGCTATGGAAGCCTCTTAAGTTCACAAAGTCTGACCATATTTAGACAAGACCATAGTCAAAGTGGAAGTTCTCTCCTCCCTTCAGAGAAAGGTACCTCCTCCTTTGATGGCCCTTTGTTTCCACCAGGATCTCACACACAGAGATCTTTCATTTAGGTCAATTTTTGGCACAGTGTCTTGGCTTCCATGCCTGAAATGCTCTCATGGGCTTTTTAGCCAGATTGGAATGCCTTAATGGCTGATTCTGAGGCCAGAGTGGTGTTTAGGACATTTGTCATGCTATGAGTCTACTGTGTGTCCTGCTTCCCATGTTGGGTCATTCTCCCCCTTTTAATTCTATCAATTGTTATTAGCAGACGCTTGGTCTTATTTATGTAATCCTTTGATACTTAATCCTATCTTTATGATCAGTTAAGAACTTAAACTGATCACTTTAAATAGTAAGATAGCATTGGTACCTGCCAACTTAATGAGATTTTGGTGTTCCATGGCAAGTTTTTAGCTTTACCCTTAGGGTTAAGTCTGAGGGAATGTGTCACATTGCTTTTCAAATAAATAAACTTTTTTATAAAATGGGAGAAAATATTCAGCATAGGAAAGGTTTTTTAACTTCTTACAATACACACAAAAAAGGATTTAAAGTGATTAATATGCTAATTACATTTATATTAATTTATAATATGTGCATTTATACATGCACACATAATGCAAGCTATATCTAATACAATATAAATATATACAATTTTATTTCTCAGTTATACTTGATTAAAGCCTGAAAAAATACCTAATAAATGAATTCAATAAAGTTAGAGGACTTCCAGTCAACATTCAAACATCACTATTTAAAAAGGCACTTAAGAAAGTAATTTCCTTTACAATAGCATAAAAACTAATAAAATATTTAAGGATTGAATTTAACTGAGGGGATGAAAAGCTTCTACACTGGAAACTTCAAAATGTAGCTAGAAGAAATTAAAGCTGAAAGTTGGAAAGATATCCCATGTTCATAGATTAAAAGTTTTGTTTTTTTTAATTTTGGAGATAACATATTTTTAATTTACTCTATAGTCAAAGACTTGATGCTCCTCTAAATAGAGTTCAACCCAGAAGTCTTTCTACTTTTCACTCGTTGAACACTATGGTTAGTGGTGCGTTAAACCTGTGATTATAAAGGAAATTGAGGAGTTTCAAGATGGTGGAATAGCAACAGAAAGGTCTGATTTATGTGGAATGAAGTTAATATTTAAAAAGAGGGAGAAGGTACACGTTAGGATAAAGCTGTGGGAGAACCACAGAAGACCCTGTGAGAGAAATAGGAATGTTCCAGACCTGCATCAAAAGAGCAAATACACAATAGAAGATAACAAAAGCGTGGATCCAGGGAGGAAGATGTGGACCCTGACAAGCCAGGTGAGAGGAATCCATGGGCCCACAGCACTGCTGATGCAGTAGGAGGGAGAGCTTGGTGAACTGCTTTTAGAGTGCCACAAGGACACTCTAAGACAGCAAGCAACCAAGCACCCAGAGGCAGGAAAAAAAAGGCAGTGCATCTCTCTCCCTCCCCACTTCCCTGCTACAGCAGAAACCTGCAGTCAAGTGGGGGACAGACTCAGGCCATTTTTGGACACAGGCAGGTAGCTGCTGTCCCTTCTCCCACAGACCTAACCAGAGAGAAAAACCCACCTTCCCCACCAACATTGAATTTGACTGGGAGGCACACACAGACAGCAGCCCTGGGAACATCAGTTTCATTACAGACAGGGCAGGCTAGTGGGATGAAGTGATATTGTGATGCCTCTGACTTTAGTTTTCTTATTTAAGATTGCTTTGGCTATTTAGAGTTTCTTGTGCTTCCATATGAATTTTAGGATTTCTTTCAGAGCTGAGAAAAATGTCCTTGGTATTTTCATTGGGAGTACATTGAATCTATAAATTGCTTTGGGTATAATGAATATTCTGATTATATTAATCATTCCAATCCACAAGCATGGAAGAATTTTCCGTGTGTGTGTGTGTGTGGTATCTTCTAGTTCTTTCCTTAGTTATTTGTAATTTTCATTGCAGAGAACTTTCACATCCTTGGTTAAATTTATCCCAAAATATTTACATTTTTTTATCTATTGTGAATTGGACTAATCTTATAAGCTCTTGCTTAGCCACAGCAATGTTAGCATATATGAATGCCATTGATTTTTGTGTGTTGATTTTATATCTTGCAACTCTGTCAGATTCTTTTATGAGTTCCAATAGTCTATTAGTGGAGTCTCTGAGTTTCCCCTATATTAAGATCATGTGCTCTGCAAACAGGGATAGTTTGACTTCCACCTTTGATTTCTTTTTCTTGGCTAATGGCTCTGGTTAAAACTTCCAGAACTATATTGAAAGTAATGGGGAGAGTGGGCATCCTTATGTAATTCTAGGTCTTAGTGGAAATACTTTCAGCTTTTCGCCTTTCAATATGATGTTGACTATGGGTTTGTGATACATTGCCTTGATTATGTTGAGGTATGTTCCTTCTATACCTAATTTTAACAAGTTTTTTTTATATATATGAAAGAATGGTGTATTTTATCAAAGCTTTCTCTGCATCTACTGAGATTTTTTTTATTTCTGCTTTTTGTTAATATGATGCATCATGTTTATTGATTTGCATATGTTGACCCATCCTTAATTCTCTTGGATAAATCCCACTTAATCTGGATGGGTAATCTTTTTGATGTGTTGCCAGGTTTGATTAGTTAGTATTGTGTTGAAGATTTTTGCATCTATATTCATTAGGGATATTGGTCTATAGTTTCCACTTTTTGGTTTGGAATTAAGGTAATGCTGTGATCAAAGAGTTTGGGAGGATTCCCTCCCATTTCATTGTTTTCAATAGTTTAAGAAGAATTGTTGTGGGGAGCAACCCGGACTAGACTAAGTTACTGGAATTAAGACTTATTCTATGCATCTGCTCTCCCACAATATGGCGCTGGGAGAGGAGAAAACAGCTTCTAGGCAGCTGCCTCTTGCCAACTTGAGTGATGACCTCCAGGAGCTGATCCTGCTCCTGATTGGAGGAGAGCAGCGTACTCGGCGTGTGGGCAGCCGAGTTGGGATTGGCGGAAGAGGACTATAAAGGAGGAGAGAGACGGCATGCACCAGGAACATCTAAGGGGGAACATCTATCTGAAGGAGCACCTGTGCAGCCCCCGAGAGAGCCGGCCGGCAGTGTGCCGCTCCCCCGCGGAAGTGGGGAAAGTGGCAGGGGGAACCACCCTTCCACGGAGGTGGAAGGGATGGCAGTCAACCCGGGAAGAACCAGCAGCAAACCCGGGAAGGGCCGAGCAGACAAAAGAACAGCTCAGGGTCCTGTGTCGTTCCTCCACGAAGACGGGGAGCGACAATTGTTATTTGTTCTTCTTTAAAAGTTTGTATAATTCAGCAGTGAAACCATCCAGTCCTGGACTTTACTTTATTGGGAGGCACTTTACTACTTATCCAATCTCAGCCTTGTTTATTGGTCTATTCAAATTTTCTATCTATTCTTCTTCCAATTTTGGTGATCTGTGTATGTCCAGAAATATGCACATTTCTTCTAAATTTTCCAATTTGTTGGCATATAATTGTTTTAATGATACCTGATGATTCTCATTATTTCTGTGTTATCAGTGTAGCATCTCCTTTTTCAACTCTGATTTTGTTAATTTTGATCTTCTCCTTGGTTTAGTTGGGCCAGTGGTTTATTTATTTATTTTTTTTTAAAAAAAAGCTCTTAATTTCACTTTTCTGTTGTATAGTTTTCTAGTTCTCTTTCTTATTTCTTCTCTAATTTTTATTATTTCTTTCCTCCTACTAGTTTTTGGTTTGGTTTATACTTGTTTTTCTAGGTCCCTGAGCTGCACCATTAGATCACTTATTTGATATCTTTACAATTTTTTGATGCAGGCACTAATTGTCATAAATTTTTCTCTTCACATTGTTTTTGCTATATCACATAAGTTTTGATATGTTGTGTTGTCATTTTCATTAATTCCAAGGAATTTTTTATGTATATTTTGATTTCTCCTATGACCCACTTTTCATTTAGGAGCTCATCGTTCTGCCTGTGCATGTTTGTGTATTTTATATGGTTTCTTTTGTTTTACTTCTTTGTTTTTAAAAAGGGACAAATTTCATGTATTTCATATATATGGTTTAAAAGCATAACATTTCCCACCCCACCCCATTTTTCCTCCCTCAATCTTATCTCCCTCCTTTCTTTCTTTTTGTTATTTTTTCTTTCCCTCATTTTCTTATTTTTCTTTTAAGTTTTACAATGACATACTTCCAATTTTCTTCATAATCAAATGCTTACCCCTCCACTAAACACAGAATTCAATAAGTAGTAGGTAGAAAAACCACTATCCTTCAGGATTATAGACATGGACCATAAACAATAATCAAATCTCAAAATGTTTAGGGTTCCTTATATTGTTAATGTCCAGCTTCATTCCATTGTGATCAGAAAAGATACATGGTATGATTTTATTTTTTGTTTTGAATTTGTTGAGAATTTTTTATGGCTTAGTATATGGTCTATCCTAGAGAATGTTCCATGCTCTGATGAAAAGAATGTGTATGCTGCAACTGTGGGATAAAGTGTTCTGTAGACATCAATTAGATCTATTTGGTAGATAATGTAGATTAGATCTGTTGTTTTCTTTGTTGATTTTTGTTCTGTTGATCTGTCCACTGATAAAAATGGAGTGTTGAAGTCCTTCATTATTGTCTTATGTCTCCCATTAGATAAAATAATATTTGTTTTATTTTTTATTTTTTTAACTTTTTCAAAAAGACTTCTTTATTTTAAAGTCAGAGTTACATAGAAACAGAGGAGAGACAGAGAGAGAGGGCTTCCATCTGCTGGGTCACTCCCCAAATGGCTGATTTTAGAGCTGGGCCAGGTTGAAGTCAGGAGCTTCTTTCTGGGGTTTTCCACTTGGCTGCAGGTGCCCAAGCACTTGGGCCGTTCTCTGATGCGTTCCCAGATGCATGGAGCAACAAACTGTCTGGAAAAAGACTCTAGATATAATTGTCTGACACAGTGGGCAGGGAGTGCTTGCAGGATTGTCTTTGGCCAGAGTCCATAAGCAGGGCTCACAGAAGATGTGGTGGCAAGGGTAACACATGTCAGGGTTGAAATAAACATCCAGACCCACTGCACAGATGTAGCTATCCTTTTCTTCTGCATATTCATTTTCATCACCTGTACTCATCTCATTGTTCAAAGTCACATGATTCAGCAATCCCACTCCTGGGTATTTAACCTGCTTCTGTAGCCATCTTTCATGCCATCATCGTTTCCTTTGTAGCTTCCTCAACTTATTCCTCTCTTATTTAGCCTCTGATTAATGGCACCCAATGGAAAGCTGGCCGAGCGCAGGAAGTCCAGAGGGGAGAGGTGCTCTTCATGGTCTGAGGTATCCAGCATGCTCCTGCCAGCCAAGGGCAGGTCCATGAGAAACGTCAGGTTGCTAGTAGTATTGGTATTGTCAGAATACACGGAAGAAGCTTCTAGACCACACTGAAATTCACCTCCTCTTTGTGTCTGGGTCTCATGGGGAGCCACTGAAAATCTTTGCAGCAGTACATTAGGATCAAAACTGGATGGATTCTGAAAGAAACAGCTATTTTTAGCAGATTGTCAAGGCAAACCTGAAAGGTCAACAGGCGGTGTTTCATTGAGCCTGAGATAGGCGGTAGTCTTACTATGTATTTCGTACAAAGTGGGTAATAAAGTCAGTTTCTCACTGATGTTCAGATCCAAACTATGTGATTTTCTATGAAAAGCTCTTGTAGTGCATTTTCCAGTCACAAGCTGGGGAACAAGCTGGTATTTTGGATTTGTTCTGAAGAGCAATTTTTCGTTCTTCATCTGGAAATACGTTGATCGTACCTCCAGGCAGAGTGCTTCTGTTAATCTCCCAGGGCCATTGTTATTTAGGGCCATGTTTAAAAGCGTATGATTTCTGTTTTGGGAGCCACCGCCTGTCAGCTGAATTTCCTTGTCACAACCTGACTGAACTCTAGGATGTGACAAGTAGTTCAGCGAAGGCCTCATTAGACTGCCTGCCTGTGCTGGCTGATAATTGGTCCGGCTCTTGGAGAGATGTACAGCTGCAGGCTGGTGACAGGAACATTTTGGAGTGCTGACAAAATTAAAGCCCCCTAAATGGGCCCCACAGAAAGGGCAATTCAGTTTTCCAACTGTCCACTGGGCTTTTTGTATCAGGCAGTTTATGCATTCAGGAAGTGCTTCTATATTCATGTGCCACACGTGACAAACATTCTGATCATCACCTGAATGTTGACGTTTATCCGTATTCACTTGATTCTCAAGATATTTCATGAAGCAACCAGAATTTGCTATCCGTTTTCTACATTTCCAGCAATGAAGAATACTTATTTCTTCTTGATCATGAAGTTTAGTTATCAGTTCTTCACTTCCTTTCATCTGCGTCTGTGTCCTGGAGCATCTCTTCGCCCCCTCCCAGCACGCCCAGCCTCTGGCAGCATGACTCTGAGCAACATTTGTTTTAAATATCTGGGTTCCCTAGTATTTGGTGCATATAGATTTACTATAGTCACATCTTCCTGTTGAGTTAATCCCTTAATCATTACATAATTACCTTGTCTCTTTTTATACTTTTGGCCTTAACATCTATTTTGTCTGATATGAGTATTCATACTCCTGTTCATTTTTTTATTTCAATTTGCTTGGAATATCTTTTTCCATGCTTTCACTTTCAGTCTTTGTCTATCTTTAAAGCTGCAGTGTGTTTCATGTCGAAAGTGTGTAGATGGATTTTATTTTCTAATCCATTTAGCCTGTCCATATCTTTTAATTGGAAAATTTAATCCATTTACATTCAAGGATATTATTGATAAATAATGACTTGGTCCTGCCATTTTTCCATAAATATTCCTATTGTTTCTCTTCAGTTTCCTTTGTTCTTTCGCTAGGAGGTTTTCCTGCCTTCACATTCTTTCATGACATTCATTATCTTTCTTTGTTTCTAAGTATAGTACATCCTTTAGTATCATTTTGAAAACTGGCCAGGTGGTAACAAATTCATTCAACTTTTAGTACTCTTGGACGTTATTTATTTAACCTTCATTTATAGATGGGAGTCCACTGGGTAAAATATTCCAGGTTGAAAGAGGTTTTTTGTTGTTTTGGTGGTTTTTTTTTGTTTGTTTGTTTGTTTACAATGTGGACTATTGTTTTCCTTTCTCTACTAGCCTGTAGGATTTCTGGTGAAAACTCTGCTGTCATTCTATTTGGAGATCCTTTAAAGGCAACCTGGCATTTCTTTCTTGAAAACTTTAAGATATTTTCTTTATGTTTCACTTTTGAAAATTTGACTAATGTTTTGTGGTAAAGATATTTTCTGATCATCTTTGCTTGGGTTTCTATGTGCTTACTGTATTTGGATGTCCATATCTTTCTCTAAATTGGGAAAATTTTCTCATGATATTACTAAGTATTTTTACAGCAAAGGAAACAATCAATAGTGTGAAAGACAATCTATGAAATAGGAAAAATATTTGCAAGCCATATGCCTGATAAGGGATTAATTTCTAAATATGTAAGGAATCCTTACAATTCATTAGTAAAAACAACCTATCCAGTTTAAAAATGGGTTTAGGACTTCAATCTACATTTCTCAAAAGCAGATATACATATGGCCAACACATAGATGAAAAGATGCTCATCATCACTAATGGGTGAAATGTAAATCCAAACCAAAATGAGGTACATTTCCTACCCATCAGGATGGCTAGAAAAAAAGACAGACAATGGGAATTGGGAAGGATTTGGAGACACTGGAGCACTTCTACAGCATTGGTATAGCCACCAATGGATAACAGTATAGTGGTTCCTCAAAATATTAAAAATATAATGACCATAAGACCCAGAAATTTCACTTCTGACTATTTATCAATAAACAAAATCTCAAATATATCAGCACTTGCATGTTCACTCAGGACTATTCCCAATTGTCAAGAAGTGGAAACATCTTAAACGTCCACAGATAGATAAATGGATTTTAAAAAGTATGGTGAATACATACCATGGGATATTATCCAGCCCTTAAAAAAGAAAGAAATTCTGTCTTTTGAAACAACATGGATGATCCTAAAGGGCATTGTGCCAAGTGAAACAAGCCAGTCACAAGAAAGATACTGCATGATTGTGTTTCTGTGAGACATCTAAAATAGGCAGACTCGTGGAAACAGAGGAGAGTGGTGGTTGTCGAGGGCTAGGGATGGGAGAAGTGGACTTTCCAACTGAGGAATATAAAGTGTAAGCTATGTAAGATGAACAAGCTCTAGAGATCCGCTGCACAAGATGTACAGATAGTTAATACTGTACTGTGTACTTAAAAATGTTACAAAGATAACTCTCACATTAAACACTCAAGACCATAAGATAAAAATGCATTATATACCTTTTCCTGTTTATTTGAGCATAAAGCATTCAAGTTCTTTGACAGTCCATTGATATCCTTCTCACTTTATTAATACCATGAGCTAACATCCTTATTTTTCACTCTTCCCCAGGATGACTCCTCTCCTGAAGTCATTGTCTACTCATATGTTGTTTCACGTTGGCCTTTCCTTTGTCTTTGCCTTTGCTCACTTCAGTCTGCATCCCACTATATGAATATGAAATTCATATCCCACTCATACATATTTAGGCTCCTTCAATGACAAATCAATACTTTCTTGCCCCACAAAAACTTCTTTGAGCACTACAAATGAAGAAAATTTCTTCTATCTGAATGGTGTGAGTGCATCAGTTGTACTCTTTTCAAGGAATTAGGTATTTTCGTTCCTATTCTGTACTTCTTTCATTATTAATATGAAGCTTCTTGAACATAAAATTTAACTCTTACTCATTTGTAACATATAAGGTGGTAAAACTAGTGCTTGAACATTGTGGTTACTCAAAATAAGTTTTAAAAAAATGAGTGAAGCCATCCTGAAGGACTAAGAATAAAGAATGCATTGAAGAAAATAATTTATTCTTCTCTTTGGTAAGCATACAAGCTATGATTGTGAGTAATACTTCTTTTCCTAAAGAACTTCTTTAACTGTCAATGATGGTCAATCCAAAAAAAACCAACTCCTCTGTGCAGACTTCCATACTTAGCAGTTATGAGGGCCAAAAATAGTCAATAAATTCTACATTTGCCTTCTTGTAGATACAACACTATGTCTCACAAAGACCCAAATGAAGAAAAATTGTTAGAGCTGCTGCGGGAGGGTTGAAGAGTATGTGAAGAAACCAGTAACTGCATCTGCTACCTAATTCTTGCAGCGTTTAGGGTGGCAGTTCCTACTAATTGCATCCCAGTGAGAAAGACAACTAGATCTATATCTAAGTTTTATATGATAGTTTGAGGAGTGAACATTAGAAAAATGAAAAAGTGATTTAAAAATATCTTTAAGTGCTAGATAGTGTAGAGCAATATTGCAAAATCTATGTTGTTACTAAAATGTCTGATTTTCCCTATGAAAGCAGACACAATATCCTTATTAGTAGAAGCAAATGGGAAAGCAAAACAATCCTTTCCCAGTGGTTAGAGAAATTATGAAAAATAGCTAAAAGGTAATATATAAAATTGCTACAGTAACGAGGTATCATTTCAGAAATAAATCCCTAGCAGACTGTCCATTATTTTCCCTTGTAACACTGATCTACAGTTCTTGCAGCTACAGTGCTTGAGCCATTTACCCTCTACAGTTGTTCTAATTATATCTATCAATGTGATGCATGTTTAACTGGATTTTAATAGGCCTGTAGCTCCTTGTTTAGCAGCAAGTTTAACAGGAGAGTAACTTATTGTTGATGAAGTATGGGGTAATCCTTGCTCCTACTAAATAAGAATTGAAATGTGTTTGAAAACCAATGTCTTGGGTTAAGTTCCTGCTCAGAAAGCAAATTCCTATAAATCAAAGTGGTGATTATTTTGCCCATGTTCTGAATGAGTTGAGAACACAGATATTAACATGTTTAATAATACTGCCTGTGAGAAATTCCTCTTAAAAAAGCCCTGTCCAAATTTTTCTTCAAGTTAATTAGGTACTGGGTGCACAATTTTCATGATAATATTATATAACAGGTACATTTCCTGCTTGAGGGAAGTATAAACCAGTAACAAATTAATTCTGTGAAATCATGAATAAGCCAACTGACCAAAAGTTGTAGTATTCATCAAAAGAAATAACATTGACATGTCAAAAAGATGTAAGATCTTTAGAGTGGTAGCAAGGTAATTGAATCCATTACCATATGAAGAACTCTTTTTCTATTATGTTCTAGAGGGTTCCCAGATACTATTTTTGATAAGATTATATTAAAGGTTTTAACTGTATCAGTGCAGCATGATGTTTTATGTGACTGAATCTTAATCCTAATCCTTGCTGACATACTTATCTATTCAAACAAGTAGGGATCCATTTTGATAGTGATGATAGAAAAATGAGTCAGTTCTAATCATTATATTGTCAGAACAGTTCCCTGAATATTCAAATGATGATTTGAGGCATATTTGAAAAAGCAGAGACACTACAAGAAATAAAGGATGACTTGGCATCAGTAATAATGTGCCTTTGTCGCTAAAATCTGTACATGCCTTCCTTATCCTGAATTAATCTGGAATCACCATTTATCCTTTCAATTTGCAGGCAAATCGGTGGTGACCAACATGAACGCTCACTAAGGCTCATGATGAAATGAATTTTGAAAATTTCTGTTGGATCACAAGAACACTATTTATGTGTATTTGTTATGAACATCTTGTTTTTCAAACTATTCTACAAAATATATAGAGCTACTTTAAAAACAACTCATTAATCTTTACTTAAAAACTTTCTGTGCTTAGTTGTATGAAGGAGGGAAACAATGGAAAAATAGTTCAGTGTGAGAACATTTTCTGTTTGCTTCTGGAGGTCTCCAGTCCGATATGGTTTCTTTGGGCAAGTAGATTGTATGCACTTGCACAGCTGGGATATGCCTCAGGCGGCTTCTAATCCCCACTGAATCTATCAAAATAGCTTATTTGGGATTAAATGCTCAAAATATCATTTTTGTTAATATGGGTAATGAATTGGCCTACCTTGTGGTAAGTGAAAATCAACAAAATATATATCACTTTGTATGTACAGTAAACATTTTATTATTTATTTATTTATTTTTAAAGATTGTATTTATTTGAGAGGCAGAGTTATACAGAGAGAGAAGGAGGAGAGAGAGAGGTCTTCTATCAGCTGGTTCACTCCCAATTGGCTGCAATGGCTGGAGTCACGCTGATCCAAAGCCAGAAGCCAGGAGCTTCCTCCAGGTCTCCCACATGGGTGCAGGAGCCCAAGGGCTTGGGCCTTCTTCTACTGCTTCCCCAGGCCATAGCAGAGAACAGGATCAGAATTGGAGCAGCCAGGACTTGAACCGGCGCCCATATGGGATGCTGGCACTGCAAGCGGTGTCCTTACCCGCTATGCCACAACGCCGGCCCCCATTAAATAATTTTACGTTTACTAGATCGTGTGAGCTGGTTTTTCACTTTTATATTTATCAAAAATTAGACAGTGAGGGAACCTAATTGTCCTAGATTGCAAGGCTTCTAATAGAAAGGAACAGAGCCTTTCAGCTTCACTCCGCAGCTGCTCCTTGAAACAATGGAATCTTAAATGTGGAGTTCCCCGTGGAATAAGGGCTCCTTTTGGTGAGTCTTTTCTGGGAGTCTTCCTGCAGCCTGAGGAGCCTTCTGTTCAGTGAGTGCCTTTCTTTAGAGAAGGGGACTCCCACACGGTTGATGAGGATACTGCTTTTCCCTGATTTCAGCTGTAGATGAGTTCTATTAAGAGGACTGCTCACTGAACTGGAAATCTATTCTCAGTTTTATTGGTGTAATTTATTGGCTTTCAAACTTTTAAAGCTGTGTGGTGTGTGCTTATTTGGTAGTAAAATATGATTCCCCCATCGCCCACCACCAATAAATTTCCTACTTAAAATCTTTAATTATCAAACAACCTAATTTTCCATTTAAAGTAATGGAGGGCAACTCCAGGAGTCCTGTCTCTCCAGACTGTGGAACTTAAGTCACCTTACCACTGGGCTTCAGCATTCTGTAAAGCACAGACCTGTGGAAAGTGAAAGACAACTTTTTTCACGTGTGAGGGAATTCTAAAAGGAGTTTACATTTTAACTGGCTAATCTGAAGTCTAAAGGAGTTACTTTTGAGTTAGCTCAGGTTACTTTGATATACACTTTTAGTAAATGTATTTTTGCTTCCTAGTCAAGGAATGGTATAGAGCATGTACCAAGTATCAATTCTGGTTCCAGATACAGTTAGGTTCACATCTATTATTAATGAAATTTTTGATCTTGGAAGAGTTCTTACATCAGATTTATGTGTTTGTTTTTCTGATATGAGAAGTGGTAAAGCAACACCTAGTTGCTGTACACAGTGATTAATAATATTCTTTCTCTTAAAATTGTGCAAGAGGATAGGATGCTATTTAGAACAATATAGATATTACTCTTAGAAAAACAACTCTCAGCTGTGTTAGCTCTGCAGTCTGTACTAATTTAATTCTAAATTCAATCAACAATCCTGAACACTGATCAAAGAACATTCAGCACAGAAACAAGTAAGCAAAAACATAAGGAAATTACACTCTCATGAAAATAATAAGTGAGGAGAAAGGGCTATGGATCAAATAATCACCCAAATAAACACAAAGCTACAATTGAGACAGCATTGTAAGATCAATAGAGATCATGTGAGGAAATGACAGATCTGAAGTATGAGCAGAAGTTAACCACTGAGGAGAAAAACAATTGTAGGTAGAATGAGATAAATAAGATATGTTAAAACAGGTGCAGAAGAAATAAGAATATAAAGCTTCAAGGTAAAATGAGCACCTGAACAGGAATTCCAGTCTGGACAAAATAATAAGCAGCAAAATAGCTTAGAGTCCAGCAAATGTGAGCAAAGTAATAGAAAACAGTAGGTTATACCCAGGTCGTTGCCTTAAGATAACAGGTAGTTAATCACTTGTTAGTGCAAAAGTATTTCATAGATGCTATTCTGTGGCTTAGTTTTAATAGGGACACATGTGCCAAAGATGATAAGATACCTGTCAGACTGAACTAGAACGGCTGTTGAAGAAAGAGCTCCTGGGGATAGAATGGTGATGATTACTGATGCCAGGCTATTGATTGGAGTCAGACAAGGAAATTGAAGAAAAGAACATCCATAAGAGCAGCGAATCAGAGCACTGGGGAATCAGAAATTCTTGGTAACTGGAACTACAGTTTTGGGGAAGAAGGTGTTTTTAGGGCATGGTTTTTAGAGTGCAATCCTGCTTATAATATGATTGATCAATGGGTTGGACATGAGAGTGAAAAGAAAACAATTTTCTTTTCTTTTTTGTGCATAGATTATGAATATTGTCACAGAATGGAAATAATACTAGTTAGGAATAAGCAGACATTGCTCTGATATTTCTTTTAAAATATTAAGGAAGTGAAGGACATTTATTTATTTTGTAATGTTAAAAATAAGCAAAATATAAAATTTCATGGGAAATTTGAAATTGCCTCTGCAAAACATACATAAAAAATAAAGAAGGAAATATTAAGAATACTTATCCCTCTGGGGTTCAAAGACACAGAAAACAGATATATACACTGTGAGAAGTAAAGACATTTGGCTCATTTTCAAAGGTGTTCATCTGTGAATAGCAAATTATGAACAGCCAGTTAGCATAATAGCTTGCAGATATGTGGAAAATTGCATGTAGCTGGCTAGCATAACATGTAGGTTACAATGGCAAGGTACATGCACCGGTGTACCAGACTCCCAGTCTTGCAACAAAGTCTCATTTTTGCTACACTTCCTGAGTCTGAGTCCATCCTTTGAGTGGAGAGATGAGAATGTTTCCCCCATACACATGCAATGCAGTGGAGGATGGCCCAAGTCCTTGGGCCCTGCACCCCATGGGAGACCAGGAGAAGTACCTGGCTCCTGCCATCGGATCAGCGCAGTGCGCCGGCCGCAGCGCGCAGGCCGTGGCGGACATTGGAGGGTGAACCAATAGCAAAGGAAGACCTTTCTCTGTGTCTCTCTCTGCCTGTCAAAAAAAAATCATTTTATAATTTTAAACCTTTTCTGAAATTGAACATGCAACACTTTTAAAACTTGAAACAGATAATAAGAAAACATGATTAAGGTTAAATTATAAAACAGTATTTAGGAGAAAGAGACAACACTCAGAAATCTGGACCATTTTTTAAATTGTTCTTATTAAAATTTAGTTAAGAGACAAATTAATCAAAGCGGAATATACATTCATGACAATTTCCAAAGTTTGAAATTACCTCAAAGAAGCAATGATATATGTAGGAATGTTATTGAATTTTTTTTTTTGCTTAGCTCATTACATGTGAAAATATTTTTAAAATATTGCTAAAATGTTTGAATATTCTGTATTTGACAGAATTTGAAACCTGGGGGCATTTAATTGTTTTCCCACTTCACTGTATGGCCTGGATGATCCCTGTGTGAACATAGATCAATATTTCCTAATTCACCATAGGACACTGACCTTTCCACTTGTACACTAGATATACAAAATATATGGATCACTTGAAGAATAACTGAGAGCTACATTTTTTGCAGGTAAGTTTAGTTTTAACATTTTGCTACCTCTGTGCTCAATGCCTAAATAACACAACCTGAAAAAAAGGTGTTATTTATTTCCTCTTCCATATTGTGCCCAATCTTAGCACACATTTGATCACAGGATTTGACTTAATTTCCTGTAGGTCTTCAGTTGTTTTACTGTAAGCTTAGGTGCTCTGAGTTAGGGTATGATATTTATGTTAGATTTCTGGCCTAAATGAAATTTATCTCTTCATGTCATGTTTATCGATAGATTAATAAACAGAGGAAAATGTACTTTGAAAATGGAATTCATGTTACAGATCTTGGGATAGGGAGTTTATCCAGGATTATCTGTGGGAAAAGTACCACTAAAATATTAACATAAAGATTTCTCTTCCATGATCTTTCTGTCATGATATTTATTTACTATTTATTGCTGTTCAAGGTAAAAAGGCAATTAAATTTTAATTATCAAGTTAGCTATAATTCATCTTTATATCCTAAAACTATAGTCTAAAGTAAAATTATCAAAGCATGTAACTGGAATGTGAAATAGCCAGTGTTTAACAATTTATGGTTGAGCCAAAGTAATAAAATAAAATATAGAGAGTACCTGAAACTGGCCAGGAGAGACAAACATAAACCAGACTTAGAAACAATGGGAGGGGGAAACAATGAATGTTGAGGCATACAATGTTTTCTTAAGCACATGGGTACGCAAGGAAGACCTCATGTCTGCCCATTCTAACACCCCTATTAACCTACCAGTCAAATGGGTGATGTTTTGATAAGGGAAATGAATTGAGCAATGTATTTTCCCTTCCATAAACTCACAGCCCAATGCCACTATCAATCCATGATGACCAGGCAAACTTCAAGTGTATTGCAACTTTTGTACTTGACTTATGGGTAGTAGACAATTTGCTGATTTTCTCCCACTGAGTTGCCTGCTGAACATGTCATGGGGAAGCCTAGTCCTCGGTAAGAATTGCCATCATATGTCTTGCCATAAAGTGATGTGAGATATGCACATCAGACTCTGACACTTTCTTTTTTATTTTATTTTATTTTTTATTTATTCATCTGACAGGTAGAGTTATAGACAGAGAAAGAGAGACAGAGAGAAAGGTCTTCCTTCCATTGGTTCACTCCCCAATGGCCGCCAGGGCCGGTGCTGCACCAGTCCAAAGCCAGGAGCCAAGTGCTTCCTCCTGGTCTCCCATGTGGGTTCAGGGGCCCAAGCACCTTGGCCATCCTCCACTGCCTTCCCCGGCCACAGCAGAGAGCTGGACTGGAAGAGGAGCAACTGGGACAAGAACGGGCACCCATATGAGATGCCAGCACCACAGGTGGAAGGTTAACCGAGTGAGCCACGGTGCCGGCCCCTCTGATACTTTCAGTGCCCGAGCCAGCCACCATCAGTGGTGGGGGGTAAAAACAGTAAGTGAGGGCATTGATGGAGAGGTTGGGCAG